ACTGGTGACCGTTTGGGTTCCGTGGGGTCTCCCTACGCTGCCGTCTTCTTCGGTGCAAGGACTTCGGCATGTGTGGCTCTGGGCGCCCGTCGGCTGCTTTCTCCTACCCTGACTTCGCTTCCGACCTGTGCCACCGGGTGTACATGCAAGAGGATCAGCCGTTTGCAGGCCTGTCTGTGAAGAGGCTGCCCCCTCTCCACTCCGGCGCCGACGCGATGCTGTTGTGTCACCTACGGCACGGACGTCGTCCTGGAGTGCCTGTCGGACCTGCTCGTTTTTGTCGGGCCTTATGCCGACTCACGCCGGGTGATCGACCTCTGCGTGTTCATGGTCGCGCCGCCGCGCCATTTTGGCTGCTCCTATTTGATGGTCGCCACCGAGATTTCCACGCCACCGGGTTGGGAGTGCCACTCCTGGTGCTCTTTCTGAGTGGCTGCCCGCGCGCTCGCTTCGCTTGCCACTCTCTTTTCTTGCTGCCTAGTCGCGGCCCAGCTAGTGATCGGACGGCTTTCGACTTGCTTCGCGAGCCCGCAGACCAAAAAGACCAAAACAAATCCCCGCCAGCGTGCTCCTTCTGAGTGGCTGCCCGCGCGCTCGCTTCGCTTGCCCCTCTCTTTTCTTGCTGCCTGGTCGCGTCCCGGCTAGTGATCGGACGGCTTTCGACTTGCTTCGCGAGCCCGCGTACCAAAAAGTATCCCCACCAGCTGGCTGCCCGCGCGTTCGCTTCGCTTGCCTCCTTGTTCTTGCTGCCTAGTCGCGGCTTGGCTAGTGTTCGGACGGCTTTCGACCTGCTTCGCGAGCCCGCATTCCAAAAACAAATCCCCACCAACCCATCCAGAAACGATGTCCAGGCGAGTTGAGCGGTGATCAAAGAAATGCGGGGGCAAAGAGGGGAGAGGCCGAACAGTGTGAGGGGGCGAAGGAGAAAATTGGATGGATGGATGAGGGCGCAGGGATAAGTCGGATGAATAGCATGAGGAGGAGGAGGCGGAGGGGGAGGAGGAGGATGAGAAGGGATAGGAGGAGGAAGGGGGAGGAGGAGGAGGAGAGCAAACAAAAGGGCCAGAGGTCTTTTGGATGCTTCTCGGAGCCTCTTGGGGTATCTCTTGGGCGTCTTGGGACGTCTTGGGGGTCTCTTGGCGGTCGTGGGGGGCTCTTCGGCGTCTTGGGTGCCTCGGGGGGGCCTTTTGGGGCCGCTTGGGATCCTTTTGGGGGCCTCCTGGGGGCCTCTTGGGGGCCCCTTGGGGCAATCTTGGGGCCATCTTGGGACCTCTTGGGGCCCCCTGGGCGCTTCTAGGCGCCATCTTGGAGGACATCGATCAAAGATGGGGATGGCCACAATTCGCGTCCCTTCCCCAGGAGGCCAACATTGGGCCAAAACTTCGGTAACACCAATGATTTTGGCTTCCTCGCCGAGGCCGTTTTGGACGCTCCGACGACTCGCGAAACCCCGTGTCCAGGTCCATGGGGACGGGGTAGGGGGAAGGGTTTAGGGGTAAACCCTTCCCCGAAGGGGAAGAAGGAGGGGTGGAAGAGGAAACTCACTAAACAACCTACGCCCAGAGGACTGGTGGGATTTCCGGGGGTATTCTAGGAGAGGTACTTGAGGGGGCATTCTAGGGGGTATTTTGGGGGACGTGCCCCCCCGAAACTCCCAAAGAAGCCCCGACAGGCCCCCAATACGCTCCCGAGCCGCATCGGGTCGTCGGTATACAGGAATCGACTCGGATCGGGCCAGCCGGAGCCGATATCGAATTGGAGCTATCGGATCCACGTCGACCACGGATGCTCGAGGTGGCAGTCCAGCGGCCCGTCGCTTCTGGATGGGAGGGGGATGACGACGGGGTTGGGGGGGCGAGGGCGAAGGGCGAAGGGGGAGGAGGAGGAGGAGGAGGAGGAGGAGGAGGAGGAGGAAGAGGAGGAAGAGGAGGATGAAGAGGAGGAGGAGGAGGAGGAGGAGGAGGGCCACTGTAAACGCAAGAGTCATCAACGATGATGGGATATCAGCCAGGGTTGACTCCAAATAGATAGGAGGACAGGGGGAGGACGAGAGGAGGATGGGAGGAGGACGAGAGGAGGATGGGAGCTGGACGGGAGGAGGCCGGGAACAACAACATCAAGCAAGCGCAAGCAAGCGAGCGGAAGCAAGCAAGCGCAAGCGAGCAACAACAAGCAACCGAGAGCCAGCGATCAAGCGCAAGCAAGCAAGGGCAAGCGAGAGCAAGCAAGCGAGAGCAAGCTACAAGAGCAAGCAAACAAGAGCACGCAAGAGCAAGCAATGGCAAGCGACTCATAGGAATCCACATGAATCCATAGGACTCATCATTGGAAATAACTGGGGGGTGCCTCTGGAAATAAGGGGGGGTGCCATTGGAGTGAGGGGGGAGGCATAGGCATAGGCATAGGCATAGGCTTAGGCATAGGCATAGCCATAGGAATAGGGGGGGCATAGGAATTAGGGGGGGGAACGAACCAATTAGTAGGGCCTGAGTTCGAACTCCTATAGGGCAAGCCTATTTGGAGAATAAGCCCTCCCTCCAAGCTCCCTGTTCATAGGCCCCGACAATGGGTCATTTCCACAGGGAACTGCCACCTTTGAAGACAACTGTTTGAGGTCCTTTAAGCGTGCCAAAGGTTTGTTCTCGGGATTCCACCGCCACGGATCAGCTTTAGTGTTGCGTCTTGACGGCCCTGAATCCTGTCAGAACGCCATTCCTGGGTCTTCAACTCCGCGAATCAATGTAACTGTTGCACCACCATAATCCTGAATCCTTCCAAAACACCATTCCTGGTGCGCTGATCATGGGAACCCGTGTAATTCTGGTAAATATAAACATCGAATGTGCGCGGCGCTAAGGCGAGAGCACCATTTCGAAAAGGAACCGCCCTCAATCCGTGAAGCTCCTGCAAGTTATTACAACGAATGTGCGCGGCGCTAAGCCGAGAACCGCATTTTGAAAACCACCTGCCTTCCATCTGTGAAGCTGTTGTCATTTTTTAAAGCTTCAAGGTCATAAATGATGAGGAAATCTCAGTCGAAACGCCCGGCCCGCCAACTGGCCTCGGGTTGCGACGTAGAGAAGTTGTTTAGAAGGAAAAAGAAAAGGAGGAGGAAGAGGATGATGAGGATGATGATGATGATGATGATGATGATGATGATGATGATGATGATGATGATGATGATGATGAGGAGGAGAGGAGGAGGGGAACGCCACATGCTGACGCGTAAGGTCCGCGCAACGTCAAAAAGGATGAGGACCAGCGTAAACCCACGACGCATCAACGGTGTTGCAGCACACCCTCCCTCAGGTTCCCTCCTCATGGGTCCCGACGAGAGCTTATTTCCATCATGGGAAGTGCCCCATCAGAAGATGGCCCTTCGAGAGGAGTCCTCAAGGGTCAAGGTCCCGTGCGAGCACGAAGCCCAGTCCGATACCGGACGCGGAGTGAAACAATTACATTCTCTGCTGCTGATGCATTCATGATTGGGCATTGGCGAGAGGAGCCCTCAATCGCGCCATAATGCAGATTCCCGGGGCTTCAAAACGCTGTGAGTCAACGCTGTGAGTCAACGCCCTCAGGTTCCCTCCTCATAGGTCCCGACAGGAGCTGATTTCCAGTATGGGAAGTGCCCCATCAGAAGATAGCCCTTCGAGAGGATTCCTCAAGGGTCAAGGTCCCGTACGAGCACGAAGCCCGGTCCGATACCGGACGCGGAGTGAAACAGTTACAACTCTCCGCTGCTGATGCATTCATGATTGGGCATTGGCGAGAGGAGTCCTCAGTCGCGCCGTAATGCAGATTCCCGGGGCTTCAAAACGCTGTGAGTCAACGCCCCGGCAAGGTTTACGTCGTTGCAGAGAGCTGATTTCCAATATGGGAAGTGCCCCATCAGAAGATGGCCCTTCGAGAGGAGTCCTCAATCGCGCCGTAATGCAGATTCCCGGGGCTTCAAAACGCTGTGAGTCAACGCCCCGGCAAGGTTTACGTCGCTGCAGAGTGCACCGCTCCCCGGGGCTTCCACGCCGCGGCTCGACGTGATTGCTGTGTCACGGCAGCCCTACGTCGTGTCACAAGACCATTCCCTGGATAGTCGAAGGCCAGACTGTCAGATTGTATTGGGCCCCACGGGCCAATCTGGCCTGGCCAAACTGGATGATTTGGGTTATTTGCCAGACTGGATTCGCGTTGGCTCCCTCGCCAGATTGCCCCCGTTTGCCAGATTGGGCCTGCCATATTGGCGCCAGATTGGCTTCGACTACCCAGATTCCTCAGACTTCACCCGCACGAGTCCTTGAACTGTTTCAACATTTCGGGGGCGGAAAAGAGGGGGGTGATGATTAGGGGGGGGTGGATATCATGGCGGGGGCCATGATATCTCCCCAGATTTCATGGCGCCTCTTCTTATTTAATCATGTCCCTGGCCCCCCCGCTGGGCCGCGCACATGCCGCCGGTCATGATTTGCACCCCCCCCTCTTGGACACCCCCCTCTTGGCCGCTCCCGAATATTGCAAGACGAATGCGTGCGGCACTGAGACGAGAACAGCATTTTGAAAAGGAACCGCCCTCCATCCATGACGAAGGTGTTGTTCACTCTTCTATAAGACAAATGTGCGCGGCGCGCAGGCGAGAGCCGTATTGTGAAACAAAACTGCCTTCTATTTCCTTGACTGCAACTTTAAGACGAATGTGCGCGGCGCTAAGGAAAAAGCCACATCTTGAACAGGACCTGTCCTCCATCCTTGATACGGTGACGAACTTTTCAGGTGAATGTTCGCCTGGCGCTAAGGCGAGAGCCACATTTTGAAAAGGAGCCGCCCCGCGAAGTTGTTGCAACTATCAATTCCCAGGATCATGAATGGTGAGGAAGTCTCAGGCGAAACGCACGGCCCGCCTTACTCATACGTCTGGGGGTGTGACAGGGCGGAGTTTTTCACAACGGGAAGAGATGGAGGAGGATGAGGGCGACGGTCAACAACGATCTCACAAGCCTCGCCAGGACGCCATGAACGCCAACAAGTCGAGCAGCTCCAGCGGCGCAGCGGCCGTGGAGGCCGGCCGGAGAGCCGCAGATCGCTCTGCTTCTTGTTTCCTCTCGGCGCCGTGTTCTCGTCGATGGCCGCGACCACCTGCAAGGGAGCTCCCTCGAGCAGTGCGCAGACCAGTGGGCGTTTCAAGTTCTCCGTGTGAGGAGGGGGATGAGGAGGATAAGAGTCGGAGGACCAGGATGATCATGATGCTGCTAGTGCTGATGATGAGGGTGATGCTGATGATGTTGGTGATGTTTTGGTCGCTCAAGTCTTGAGTATGTGGGAGAAACTCCTGGATCACGCTGTCAGCGGAACAGTCTCGTACTTCACCCGCTGTCCTGTCGTGCCATCGCGCCCTCCTTGCCCTGTGTGCTCCCTGGCGTGCGGGCAACCAGCAAGCTGCCCATCCTGTTCGCTGGTGTGTCCCGCGGCTCCTGCGTGTCCAGAGTCCGCGGCGCCAGCCTGCCCCGCTCCGGCACCCTGCCCAGCGGCAGTGTGCCCTGCCTGCACCCCTTGCGCGGCCGCGGCATCCGCGGCCACGAGCGAGGCGGCCGCGTCGGCCCCGTCGGCTGGCGGCGAGGCCCAGGGCGCGGCGGCCACTCTGGGTGACGTCAGCCGCGACGCCCGGGCCTTGTGCCTGGGGCTGCTGGGCGGCACGCTCGGCTGCTTCCTGGCGGCGGCTTGCTGCGTCGAGACGGGACGCTCGGCCGAGGCGCGAGGCGGTGACCTACGATGGCAGCACTGGCAGCGACGACATGGTGGGTGTACGTCTTCTGCGCCGCAGAGGCGGTGTGGCACCAGCGCTTGAGTCTGGGGCTGGTGGCGTCCTCGGAAGGTGACCAAGTCATCGATACAGCCGACGGCGACCTGTACACAGTGACGGTGTCGGACTGCCCGGATGTGCGGGGGGCCAGGTTCGGCAGCTACGACCCCCCGCCGCTAGGGATCGACCCGCAGCAGGTGTATCGGAGCGGAGCGGGTCCGACGGACGCGAGAGTGGCGCAGCTCACCGCCGCAGCAGGGCAGGTGGCACCCGCCGAGTGCAGGGTGCGCGCGCGGGCGATGGGCAACCCAGAGCTGCTAGTGGTCCTGGGGCCCCTGGTGCGGCCGGGCGGCCGCGGGCCGCGGGAGTGGCTCGGCATCGAACGGCACCACGAGCATCTCCGCCAGGCGTGCAAGCTGGGCGTCAGCGACTGGGGCGGTCAGGAGCGCATCCAGCCCCCTCAGCAGATCAAGGCGGTGCCGGGCCAGGACCACGGAGATGGCACCAGCTCGTTCAGCATTAAGATGTTGTTCTGGAGGCTCCTGACTATCGAGGTTGCGGTCGGGGACAAGGCCAAGGACGCCGAGAGCACGGGGGTGGGCGGCATGATGAGCTTGGAAGGTCAGGCCGCCTTCTCTGGGCTGTCACGCGTGGTTTCCACGGCCGAGGTGACCCCCGACCTCATCGAGTACATCCGCGCCGAGGTTGAGAAGAAGGCGATGTTGCACAACAAGCTGCGCCTGGCCCGCGAGGAGCGGGATTCCAGGCGCAACCATGGTTGAAGTGTGGTCCCGCGCTGCCGTCGGAGGGGGCGACAGCGCGTGTATGCAACCCCTCCAAACCGAGCGAGGTCATGGGCCTGCTCCTACTCAAGACGTCCGCGGTGAACGGCGACGTCGTGCACGTGATATCTTTCCTCTGCCGTGCCCGAGGGATCGCGAGGTCTTCGATCGGGACGTGGGCCGTGGGCTATCCCGTGGATTGCGACAGCGGCTGGGTAAGCGTCTCAGTGTGCATCATGATGTCCTGAATGCTGTGGGCTCCCTCAATTGGCTTCACGATCCATCCGTTCTCTGTGGCCGTGACCGACATGCAAGCTATGTGGGACCGTCGCTTGCTCAGAGCCAGTGCCTTAACCACGTCGAGGCCTCGGTGCAGGAACTTGGTCCTCCGCCTGCCTCGCTTTCTCCCGCAGAAGCGCTCTTGCAGCTTCGCGTGGCCGGGGGCGCCTACACCGTCGAGCAGTCGTCCCTCGGGAGCTACGACCCCGCGCTCCTCTCCTTGCCGGACGTCAGCACGGCTCCTGTCCCGCTGGCGGATGTGTGGGGGGAGGGCGGGCTATCCAAGGTCGAACTCTTTGTTCAGCAGCGCCTGCTCAGTCCGAGCGAGGCGGCGGCCCGTCTCCGTCAGAGTTCTGTGCCTGTTCCCTACTCTGACCCCAAGCTTCGCGACCAGAAGTGCTGGTCCAGTTTTGCCCAGCTTTTGTACGAGCGCCATCTTATCGAGTACGCCCTGGAGGATGGCATGCGAGCAGACATCTTCTTTGTCAAGAAGAAGGGCGGCCGCCTCCGCGTGGTCGCGGACTGCCGCAGGTCCAGCGAGATCCTCGTGGAGCCCGACGGCGTCAGGCTCGCCACGGGGGGCGCCTTCGGGTGCCTTGAGATGCTCGACGACGACAGCGAGCTCGCCATCGAGGGTGCGGACCTGAAAGGGCGCATTCTACCACCTGGAGTTGCCGGAGGCGCTCCGCTATGCTTTTACGTTGAGGCCTGTCTGGGCCGGGGTCATGGGCGTCTCCGTCGTCGGCGCCAAGGAGGTCAAGGCCTCCGCGCGCCTGTGCTCCAGGCTGCGCGTCGTTCCCATGGGCTGGTCGTGGGCGATGTGGTGGTGCCAGTCGCTCGTGGAAAGGGTGGCCGACGCGAGCGGCTGTGACGATGCCTCTCGGCTTCGAGACGGCCGCCCAGCCCCGCCACTCAGCTCCGCCTGCCATCTCGAGTACGTGGACAACCACGTCAGCATCGGTTGCGACGCGGACGCTGTGCGCGCCAACGTCACGAGGGTGATGCAGGAGCTTGAGCGGCGTGGACTCGTGGTCACGAGGGAAGCTCATCTTGGCGAGGTGGAGGGCGAGTTGTCCGTCCTTGGGTGGGCCCTCTCGTCCACGGGCCGCTTTTCGTCATCGGCGTCCCGTCTCTGGCGCACGAGGCTTGCTGTGCGGGCCTTGGTCCGAAGGGGCCGATGCTCGGGTCGGGGCCTGGAGCGGGTGATCGGGCACGTGGTCTTCATCGCGCTGGCCCGGCGCGAGGGCCCCCGCATCTTCGAGTCGTGCTGCAGGTTCACCCAGGAGTGTTACAACCGTGAGGTGCCGCTCTGGAGCCAGGTCAGGCAGGAACTGCTGGCCTGGATGGCGTTGCCCCTTTGTTGTGGCGTGACCTCCGCGCGCCGTGGTCGCCCTCTGTTGGCTGCGTGGATGCCTCCCCTTGGGGGCTGGGCGCCTGCGAAGCCGTCTGGGAGGTGGGCGCGGTGCGGGAGGTGGGTCGCCATAGCGAGAGGTGGCGCTATGGCCGGGCCGAGCGCTAGCCTCCACGTCGGCGGGCGCGCGCGGCCGAGCTCGCGGCCGAGGGGGCTGCTGGCGCGGCCGAGGGCCTGCTCGCCCGGCTGGGCGCCCAGCTTCCGTCGGGATCCAGCGGACAGTCGCTGGGCCCGCCGCTTGAGCGTGACCTCAGCCAGTTTCCCGAAGTTCCCCGGCGAGTGCTGGAAAGGAGTAAGTGGCAGGTCACGGGCAGGAGGAAGTGGGATCGTCTTGAGGGGGTGCCTGTCCTCGAGGCGCGGGCCGTTTTGTATCATGTTCGCCATGCTCTCCGAGCTGTCCGCAACCGCGGGAAGCGTCTGCTCGTCTTGGGCGACTCGCTGTCTTCGGTCTCGGCTACTGCTAGGATGAGGGCCCACAGTAACACCTTGCTCAGTATCATGCGCAAGATCGGTGCTCTCTCCCTGGCTTCGGGGAGTTCCTTCTGTATCCGCTGGATTCCTTCGGAGTACAACGTCGCGGATGGCCCCTCGAGGCCGCGGGGGCCCCAGTGACCCCTCGTCCGTCGTCCTCACGGGGCCCCCCATGGAGACCTCCGTCGCCCAGGACCAGTGCCAGGAGCCCGTCTACGACCTAGGTGAGCAGGAGCGTCATCAGCAACATAGTATGCAACATCATGTACCTTCACATCAGCATTCACATCATCAGCGAGCTGGTGCAAGCAATCCCTGGTCCCTGGAGCTGGAGCATATGTCGGACACCCCGGGCCTGGACCGCAACCTGAGCCCCGTCGAGCCTTACCTCGAGCCCGAGCCGTCCGTCAGCATTCCTGGCTCGGGGGTGCTTCGACTTCTTCCATATGTTGCGAGTTCCACTTCCGTGTATCATCTTCCCGGTGCAGATGGGGGCTCGTGGGTCCCCGGCTGCCGGGGGGCTGCTGCAGGGGCGGAGCCTGAAGCGCCCGGCGGCGTGGGCCCAAGATGGAGCGAGCCTGCCTACGTTGGCCCGCCAGCGTGGGCCAGCCAGCCCTCCGCCGGCGCCGTTGCCGGCACTTCGTGCTCAGACCCCGGTGGCTGCGCGCGGGGCGGCCTCCCTCGCGCCCGTCCAGCGGGCGCGCCTCATCGAGCTGCCTGCTGGGATACCCGTCCTGAACGCGGCCTCGGTCCGTGCTCGGGCTGGCCGCCAGGCCCGCGCCGACATGCTCGCCGGGTTCGACCGGTGGGTCAAGCAGCACAGGAGGGAAGTCTCCTCTCCAGCGTCGCTCGACGGCGCCGTCCGCGACTACCTTCACAAGATGTTCGAGGGGGGGTGGCACCATACCTTCGCCAACCGCATGATCGCGGCGGTGGCGTGGCGCGACCCCCGCTTCAACAAGAACGGGCCGTTCGACCTGCCGCTCGCGAAGCAGGCCTCGAAGGGGTGGCGCAACCTCGCTCCCCCCAGGAGCCGCGTGGCGCTGCCTTTCGAGATCGTGGCGAGCGATCAACTACCTGCGCTACCACGGCCAGCCGCAGATCGCCATCGCGGTCTGGCTCCTCTTCGAGATCTACGGCCGCCCGGGGGGAATCCACGGGCTGCAACTTCAGGATTTCGCGCCGCCAGCTTCTGGGTCTTCGGCAGCTCAAAGGTTCCCCGCCGTGACGCTTCGCGCGCAGGAGGTCGGCGAGGTGTCCAAGGCCGGGGAGTTCGACTCAGCTGTGCGGCTGGATCTTCCCCGACAGCAGGGGCTGGGCGCGGCGCTCCAGGCGCTGGTCAGCGCTCGGCGCCAGGGGGGCGCCGCGGCGAACGCCTCCCTCTTCTCCGTCACTCAGGCGGAGGCCTCGCGCGCATGGCGCGGGGCCATCCAGGCGCTCAGGCTCGACATCATCGGCGCCTGCCACGTGTGCCAGCTCCGCCACTCGGGGCCCAGCCACGATTACGCCGCCAACCTCCGCGACCTCGAGTCGTGGAGCTCTGTGCGGAGGTGCGAGAAGGGTGGCCGTCTCACCGAGCAGATCCACAAGTTGCCCGCCGCGCAGAGGCGGCACGCCGTGGCCTGCTGCCTCGCCCTGACCGCGTGCGCGCGCGGCCTGCCCTCAGCATTGGCTCCAATCTGCCCGACCCGGCGGTGATCCTGGACCTGTTCTGTGGCGATGGCGGCTTCGGTCGGGCGGCCGCTGACTTGGGCATGCCAGCACTGCTGTGGGACACTTCCCTCGGTGAGTAGTGCGATCTCTCGAAGGCGGGCGACGTATCCCTGATCTTGAGGTGGGCGCGGGCCGGGCGCGTAAGAGGCTGGCGCGCTGGCATTCCTTGCAATGCCCTGACGCGCTGCGTTGACCACGGGGTCGGAGCCCCTCCTGTCCGTTCTGATACTCACCTCCTCGGCCTCCCCTCCCTCAAACCACGCCTCCAAGCCATCGTTGAGGTCTCGAATTCGCTGAATAGTTTTGTGGCCACTCTTGCCTGCCTGTCCATCGTGATGCGTATTCCGTGGAGTGTTGAGAACCCTAAGACCTCTCGGCTGTGGCTTCCCCCTAGGTTCAGAGCGCTCCTCAGGCGTAAATCTGTGATTTTCCTTATTACCTCCATGTGCCAGTGGGGGGCCCCGTGGAAAAAGGGCACGGGGCTCTTGATGTCTGATCTTGAGCCCGGCAGCTTTAGAAACTCGGTATGCTGTGGCTCGCGTAGAGGTATTCGTTCGCGGACGGGCCGTCCCCACGTCCAACTCCAGGGCTTTTTGCCCAAGGGCGGGTTCCAGACAAAAAAAGGGGGCTGTCTATCCGCGCAAGTTCTGTCTCGCGCTGGCCAGGTGTTTCCACGGCGCTGAGGTCGGTGCCTCATCTCAGGTGATCCAGCAATCTTTGTCTGAATAGTGTGGCCTTTACCTTTTCGGCGTGGCCAGCTTGCTGCTGCATATTTGGCGCATATTCGGCAGTCTGTATGTGTATGCTCGTGCTGCTCGCATCTGTGTGCTTGAGCTCTGGTGGTGCGGTGCCGCACCTCGAAGGCTGGACTGTTACGCTGCTCAGTCTCTTGCAACTGCTGGCAGTAGAAAGGTGCACAGGATTGTCGTGATTTCACGTGTTTCCGTCGCGCCGTTGATCCGCCGCTGTTTTGGTCGCTCAAGTCTTCCTCCTCCTCCTTTTCTCCACCCTCTTTCAGGCAGCACGTGTGCTGCAGGCAGTCTGTATGTGTATGCTCGTGCTGCTCGCATCTGTGTGCTTGAGCTCTGGTGGTGCGGTGCCGCACTTCGAAGGCTGGACTGTTACGCTGCTCAGTCTCTTGCAATTGCTGGCAGTAAAAAGGTGCACAGGATGATTGTGATCATGATGGATATGATGATGAAGATGATGATGATGCTGATGATGATGATGATGGTGGTGGTGATGATGATGATGCTGATGCTGATGATGATGATGGTGGTGGTGGTGGTGATTATGATGATCGTGATGGTCATGGTGATGCTGATGATGATGATGGTGATGGTGACGATGATCATGATGACGATGACGATGATGCTGATGATGCTGGCGATGATGATGATTACGATGATGATAACGACGATGATAATGATGAGTTTGATGATGATGACAGGTATGATGATTCCGCCGATGATGATGACGATGACGAATATGATGATGGTGATGATGATGATGATGATCATTGTCATAGTGATGATGATGATGCTGATGCTGGTGCTGATGCTGATGATGAAGCAACTGCTAATGATGATGATGATGATGGTGATGGTGCTGGTGATGATGATACTGATGATGATGGTGATTCTGATGATGATGGTGATGATGATGACGACGACGATAACGACGACGACGATGCTGATGATGATGCTGATGAGCAGTATGTTGATGGTGATGATGATGATGATGCTGATCATGATGATGTTGCCGATGATGAGGATGACGATGATGATGACGATTATGATGATGATGATGATGCTGGTGGTTGTGGTGGTGGTGGTGGTTGCGATGATGATGATGATGCTGATGATGACGACGATGATGATGTTGATGACGATGATGATCTTGATGATGATGATGACGATGATGATGATGATGATGATGATGATGATGATGATGATGGTGATGTTGTTGATGATGATGATGATGATGATGATGATGATGATGATGATGAATGTGATGATGATGATGACGATGACCACGACGACGACGTCGACGGGTCGACGACGGGACGACGACGACTACGGACGACGACGGCGACGGCGA